TTTGGGCACAAGTTATTGTATACTGTAGACTAACTTTCTTTATCGGTAGGCCTAAGTTTTTGGCCACTCGTAGCTTACGTATATTTGGGCGTCGGTCTATATCGTAGATATAAGTCTAATTTAGATTTATGATCTAAAAATCTTGAGGTCGACTTGTATGCCAGGTCGATTTGTACATAGCAGTTTACGGTAGTCTTAAATCCAAACTAATAGAATAAATTTAACATTTCTAACAAGTAAAATACTTTGCAGGATTTCAAATTAACGTTAAATTAACTAGAAAGATTTCATCTGATTATTAGTAAAATGGATATGATCCTTTATATTAAGAAATCTGTTAACGCAACAAAATTCTCTTTATTAAAAAATCTTTCAAAAATAAAATATATTTTTCTGAAACGTTATTTGAGAAAAATTAGCTAATTGAAATTTTAATTAATCTACACTGCGTGCCAAATTATTATCGAGATAACTTTTTTTCTGATATTTCAAAAACCCTCCAATCAATTCACACAAAATTTTCACACAACGTTGGCAATACTGACCTGCGCAAACACTGAATTTTTCGTACTGATCTGTGCAATGTAAAGAAACTGGCGCCATATTTGTTATCAGCACGGTGATTTGAGAGTGACAAATTATTAGAAAGGTTTAGTAAAATTCCCAGAATTTAGCAAACAAAACGTTTATTAATGTTGCACGTGAATGTTTATGATCAAAAGAAGCTAATAAATAAGATAATCAAACAAATAATAACAGATACAAACAAAGGCACAGTTTTAAACAAATTAATAGGGAATGTGCTTTCCCTGTTTTGAAATTACTTGAAGAAGTCGACGATCCATAGAATTTGTTAATTGTAGGATGTCATCTGCTGTAATGCCGCGAGATATGTCAAGAATTGCTTCCCACAACTCAGCGTTGCTCCTGAATTGTCGTCCGTTGGCGTACAGTCTTCGCCTCATGATGCTCCAAATGTTTTCGATTTGGTTCAAATTTGCTGGCCACTTCATATTTCGAGGTTCATCGAGGCCTAACTGTTTCAAATATTCATTAGTCTTGTGAGCAGCATGTGAGGGATCATTATCTTGCATAAAAAACAATTGCCCTTCTGAAGACAACTCTTTGCCTTTTCATCCACGGTTCAAGATGCTCCTTCATAAATGCTATGTATGCATCAGCAGTCATTTTGACACCATCTGGTACTCCCCATTGACCCACTAATGTTTTTCCAATAATACCACCCCAGATCATTATGCCTCCACCGCCTTGTTGGTGTCTCAAATGCTGATGGCAATTCTGTCCGTTCATTACCCAGCCATTGCACCATCTATCTGGCCCATCAATTGTTGCTCAAGTTTCGTCTGTGAACAAAACTTTCACAAACAATGTCCTTCATATTGTCCTCGGCCCATTTCAATCGATTTTGAATGTGATTTCTTGTCAACGGAGGCTTCGATACAGGTTTGACTGTTGTTGCTATTTCTCTTAGATACCGACACCGAGTACTTTTAGACACAATAGGATCCCCAATGCGACTGAAAAGCTCTTGAATGGTAAGTCCACGGTCCTTCGTGGCTTCTCGTTTAATTCGTGACATGAGACGACGTGAAATAACTTTCGGCTTGCCTTTATCTGCCCTTTTGCGTACTTGTGTAGGGTCGGCGGCGAACTTTTTTTTTTTTTGATGACACCTCCCTGTCATTTTTTAAATTTCTAGGGTAGATTTACCTTTTGAGAGTTCTGAGGTGATAGTTTTCTTTTCAGCATCACTTAAACTGCTTTTACGACCCATCTTTTCATTAAATTCTTACACTTTTCTAATAATTTGGCACTCTCAAATCACCGTGCTGATAACAAATACGGCGCCAGTTTGTTTACATTGCGCAGATCAGTACGAAAATTTCAGTGATTGCGCAGGTTTGTGTTGCCAACATTGTGTGAATTGATTGGAGGGTTTTTGAAAAATTAGAAAAAAGTTAACTCGATAATAATTTGGCACGCAGTGTAAATTGTAACAAATATTACTTACCTTTAGTGTAAAATATCGCAGAAAAGCATTTTAGCACGGATGTAGGTATTTTTATGAGGTGTTCACACTTATTGACAGCCTGATGTTTGGGAAATTTATCTAAAGAAGAAATAATAGATATAAAATTAGATGACGAATACATGGTAGACGCCCATTTTGATATATATTCTATAACAATCCAATAATCTTTAAAATTTTGAATAATTTAAGCATTGTAATATTTTATTGAATTTTACATACTTTATGTTTATGGTTTTTCTTACAAAGACGTTGTTGAGAAAATGTTAAAAAATTGCCAATAAATTTTAGATTTACTCTATTTATTACTCTTTTATTAATGGATAAGCGGCTCGGATTGAGGAACCGTACAGCCAAGTTCAAATTCCAGTCGAATCTATTGCATTCACTTACATGCTAATACCCTTGGGAAAGGTATGTCTCCTCTTCTTCTCCCTCAACCTATGGGTAAATAGCAAGACAGACCGGATTCTATAGCCTTGGATGGCAACTGGTCTATCGCAGAAAGAAATAGCTACCCACTGCGGGAAAAAATCTGCCTCGTTAGTCATATATCGAAAGATACATGATCGCCTAAACGTGTATCACGCATGACACATAACCTACTGACTAATGTCTTGAATGGATATTTGCATTTACAAAAATCGGCAACTTTATACACACGCAAAACAAAACATTAAAAATTCTTTTTAAAATACTGGGGATCAATGATCTGTATTAAGCTTTTCTATTTAAGATTTTAAAATACAGTTTTTATTTAATAACAAGATCACTTGACTCCGAATTAATACAGAATTTTAAAAGATGTAAGTTTTTAAATGGTTCTAATTAAAATTTATAATAATGTCCATAATATATTTTATTCATAAAAACAATTAAATGATTTTCTAATAAAATAAATAAATTAATAATGTCTTATTTTTATAGCTTTTTTTATTTTACAATTCTGAGTAGATTTTCTCTAAGTGGAAGTCCTGTTTGACAAAAAAATATTGATGATTTAAATTCTCCGCGGACTTAGAAATAATATAAACATTATATAAAGCGCTATCAAAATGAATTTCTCGAAATTTCATAAAATAAAATAAGTGGGTGGTAATAGATACAAAATCATTTTTTTTAAAAAGAAACATTTTTAAAATAATTTAATTCATTTGTAAATAACTCCTGAAAGTTTCATTAAAATTCGACAATTATCTGATTTTTTCAAGAATTTCAAATCAATATTTTTCACGTCAAATAGATACTCAAATAACCCGTACTAATTTATGTTGACGTTAGAAAAAGCAAAATTTTTACCCAAAATTTCGAAGATTCTAAAAAGGATTAAAAGTAATTTTAACAAGAATTCTTTGAACGTTCATTTTGATAACATAAAGATTTTGACGATAAAACTTTGTTTTTTTTTTAATTAATTTTTGAGCATCTTTTCATATATGCTTATTTTTAATGAATCTGTGTGGCTATCTACTCATAAAGGATTTCAATTTTAAGATGATCAAAATGTATTTCAGATATACGCAGGATGTTTTAAGGGGACTCGAACAATGAGAATTTTATTTACTTAATTATTAGTGATTTGGCTCTAAAGTTTCTGCAATATTAAGTTATATATAGTTATATATATATATATATATATATATATATATATATATATATATATATATATATTGTGGAAGTTTAAATAATGAAATTTTATTATTTTCCCATGTTGGCGTTGCTCGTGACTCAAAAGAAAGAAATTTTTTTCGCCTTTAATCCGATGAAGCCTAAACGGCGAAATGCGTAATCGGATATATTTTCGAAACAATATACCTTGATGAACATTTCCAATTGTCAATAATTTAAAATTTCGTCGGGATTATATACCTATTATATATATATATATATATATCGTTGTTATTATATATATATATATATATATATCGTTGTTATATATATATATATATATATAGATATATATATAGTTAAAAAAAAAATATATATATATTAAACCTTTTCAAGACAATATTATCAAATATATTCAGTTCAATATAACCAAATCTTGGACATTGTTTTATTCAGAACAGATAACGGAAATTCTCATTATTTTCATTTAAATATTATTATATATATATATATATATATATATATATATATATATATATATATATATATATATATATATATATATATCGTTGTTATATATATATATATATTATATATATATATATATATATATTGTTATATATATATATATATCGTTGTTATATATATATATATATATATATCGTTGTTATATATATATATATATATATATGTTGTTATATATATATATATATATATATATATATATATATATATATCGTTATATATATATATATATATATATCGTTGTTATATGTATATATATATATATATATATATCGTTATATATATATATATATATATATATATATATATATATATATATCGTTGTTTCATTCTCGGATGACACGTAAAACAAAGTAAGATCGAGTTCCGAGATCTATATCACCAACACCAATGATGACACATCCATCTTTGCTGTAGCCAAAAGTAAACCGCAAACAATAGCACTTTCTTCCAAATAAACATTTTCAGAGATTCTACAAGGCTGCGTATTTTACAAGTACGTCATTAAACAAGAATCCTTAATGCTATTTTCCCCACAGACATTATCTCACCTGGGTTTCTTAACGACTTCGGTCAAATGAGATTGCTACAAAGTAGAATTTTCAATTGTCGTGCATCGTTCGACTGAATTGACGTTCGTAAGTAGAGTGTCATTATTTGGACATTAACTGCGCGGATCCTTTTGGTCAATTTTCAATCGATAAGTCTCCAGACATTCGTTTATCGCCAAACGAGATATTGAGTTCTTTTAGTATTTTTGTAGATAATTCTAATGTGTCTTAATGTTGAAGTGTCTTCAACATGTCATATTTAAGTGTTACATCGATGTTATCTGGTGGTAGTTAATTTTTGTGGCAAAAAGAAAGAAAGAAAGAAAGGTTTGTGAGTTGAGACGGGAATGAACAGAATCAGCCATTGTAAGCCGGAAGGGTAAAAGAAGAAAGAAGTAGAGGCAGAAAATAAGGGATCGTAATAAATGAAGAAATATTGCAATAAAGGAAAAAAGAAGGAAAGCTTAAAAGGAAAAGAAAGGTGGATAAATAGAAAGATATAGGACATAAAAGATATATATATATATATATAAAGATATAAAATAGGAAAAGAAAGAAAGTATATTTAGGAATAAAAAAGAAAGAAAGAAATGAAGAAAGAAAGAAAGAAAGGGTTGAAGAAATAAATAAACAGAAAGAATATGTCGAAGATAGAAATACAAAAAACGTGATAAAAAAGAAACAAAAAAAGAATGTGATAAAAATAAGAAACAAAAAGAGAATGGGATAAAAAAGAAAGAAGAAAAGAATGTAATAAAGGAAGAGAGAAAGAGAGAAAGATGGGGGAAAAGAAAATAGAGAAAGAATGAGTTGAAGAAAGAAACAGAATGAATGTGAAAAAGAAATGAATAGAAAGTAAGAATGTGATGAAGAAATAAAAGAAGAAACAGAAATTGATGAAGAAAGAAAGAAAGAAAGAAAGAAAGAAAGAAAGAAAGAAAGAAAGAAAGACAAGAAAAAATGGAGTGAAGAAGAAAAAAATATACAGGTGATCTGAATAAAATCCGGTTCATACGTCGTCCCCGACTTTTACCGGAAATCTGAAATTTTTATTCAGTAATCATATTTATCATAAAACCCAGGTTGTGTGTGTGTGTCTGTACGTTTATATATTGGATCGAAATTCCTACATTTTTCAACCGATTTCAACAAAACTTCACAGGACTATGTAAAATTACACTGCGGTGGTTCTGACAGCGCCAAAAATTGGAAAACCACAATTGTTTTTACACAAAATCAATTTGAAAACACGATTAAGAGGCATCGCTGTCGCGAGAATAAAAAGGAGACAACTTATATCGAGTTATACTTATTATAAAACCCAGGTTGTTTGTGTGTGTGTGTGTGTGTGTGTGTGTGTGTGTGTGTGTGTGTTCGTTTATATATGTGATCGGATTTCCAACTTCACTTTTTTTTGGCAGGTAGTGTTTCTTATTGTCTTGCACACTTTTTCTTTATTTTTACATTCAGAATGCTTTAAAAATCCAATTTACAAGACAATTGTTTATAATAAAATTCTATTCAATCGGTAGACTCATAACGAGTGAAAACAATGTTTTTGTTTGAGTTTGGGTTTGAAAAAAAAAAAAAAAAAAACTAATTAAGACATGCGTGTCCGTCAACCTTAAACAATAATCTTTGTCAATTTTATTTTTCAGTCTTTATGATGGCCGATACTTGATCTATCTCTTACTGTTACATCCCCGGGCAACGCCGGGCTCTACTGCTAGTCATTATTATTTTTTCCACTCTCAGTAGGAGGAGGTAGATTTCCTATCGTTCGGTTCACACCGCTTCCCGGTTTTTTGAATAGATGTAGAGGTTTATCCCTTGTTTCCTGTTTAGGATTTGTTTTCCGGTTCCTTCTAAAGTATACTTTAACTCTATACATCTAACGTCTCCCCCTGAATTCTGAAATTTTATTCGCTAATTAAATCTTGAACTCTTCAAGTCTAAAATTAGCTATCTTTCCGGTTACCATGTCTTATGCTAATACAATCCATACAGTAACACTTTACCTTGAATGGCCCTTGTGTCTTCTATTGGGTGAACATTAATAAAAATGACATATGTCTGGAAACTGGGAAAATTCTTATTGCAACGAGTAACTGTTACGTTTGAAAGATGCTTGGAAAATCGATTGCAAAACAAAAGTCCGCTACGTGTCGCCTTAAGTTTTAATATTCCTTTCTTTCTTTACGATTTATCACTATGGTGTTAAATATTTATTAAGCTTAGATTAATTTTGCTCGTATTTTTAAGTGGAAAATTATCATAGACATCCTTTGCTATATGGACCAACGTGATCAAATTGATTGTTATAGCCAAAACGTTTTAGACGTTTTTAATCCACCTATAGTCCTCCTATATGACAGTGAATGCTGGTTAATCTCCTCACAGATGAAATATAGACGCGAAGCAACAAAAATGTGGTTCTACAGAAGGATGCTGAGGATACAATGGACCGAAGTATGTAACCAGCTCAGATAGAGCTTAGATCTACGTATCCAGAGTAGCCACATTAATTTTATTTCATTCTTTTTTTACTGACTTCTTTGCTTAGGTTTTTCTTCTTTCTTTTTTTCTTCTTTATTATGAACAGTATCAACGAAATGTATTTCGATCAATATTTTGAGTCACGAAATTAAAACAATTAATTTTGGATCAAGTTGAAGTCAATGATAAAAATGGCGCACTACGAAAGATTCTTGTTGCTTTGAAATAGATATACTCTGATATATTCTGACTCGGTCTAAGCCTGACAAGCACGACCACCGGGTCGCTGGTATATATATATATATATATATATATATATATATATATATATATATATATATATGATGATACGACAGAAAAAATACGTACAAATTACAAGCATTTAACGTATTTTCAGGCGAGCACAACTTTTGCTAAAAAAGCGTTCAAAAAGGCTGTAATATTTAACAAGTGTGTGTCGGTCAAATGTTTGATTTATCAAGCATCTGGGCCTAAATGAGCGTTCGGTGTGAAACAACTGAGTCAGTCAAATTGAACTTTTCTTTATTTATAGGACACACACAAACACACACACACAAACACAACACACACACGCATATATATATATAATATATATATATATATATATATATATATATATATATATATATATATATATATTTTTATTATTATTATTATTAAGGCACTTTTCCGTTTAATAATCTTTTTCCTGTTTTTCATGCTTTCACGCATTTTTTTTTAATATTTGGATCTAAGTTGTTGCAATAAGAAGCTAGTCCATGATTTTGTGCCGAGAGCTTTCGGTTATCGTCAGCCATCATCATGGCTTTATGTTTTAGTTTGAAGTAGGTTGCTTCTTATTTTATCTTTAGAGATAATATTTTGTTTATTAAGACAATGTGGTTGGATTAGTTCATTAGTAATTAGGAGGGGTTGTTTTTTTATTAATTGGAGGGTTAGTTATTAAACCAAAAACAATATAAATAAAATAGCATTTAATACTTGCAGAAACATCTTAAACATATTTAACTACACAGATGCATAATAACTAAACATGCATAGAAAACAGAAAAAAATTGATTTAATAGAAATCAATCATATTTATCCATTTTAATGGGTGAAAAAGTATTCATGCAGTACAAAAAAGAATACATAATCTTCATTTAATACTTTGTTGAATAGCCATTATTCCCCTCTACAGCAACTAACCTGTAGTTCTCAATGATTTTCAAATTTTAATTGGTATTTTGTTCCAATCTTTGCATATGGTCTTCAGATCCAGGTTGTTTGTTGGAGCTCTCGATTGGATTTGAATTTTCAGTAACACCTCAGATTCTCGATTGGGTTTAAATCTGGGAACTGACTTGGCCATTTCAGGATATTTACATTATTTTCAGCAAGCCATTTCGCCGTAGATTTTGCAGTGTGCTTAAGTTCATTATCTTGGAAGATCCATTTAGGAGGAAGTTCAAGATTTTCTACAGAAAACATTAAATTGCCTTCCAAAATATTTTGATATGCTGCGGCATTTATTCTACTATCTATTACTGATATGTTGCCAGTACCTTTTGCAGAAAAAAACATTCTCAAACCATGATGCTGCCACCACCAAATTTCACTGTTGGAACAGTGTTCTTTTGCTTGAAGACATCGCTATCTTTCCTCCATACAGGATTTCTAGAATTATGTCGTTCCATAATACTCTTTTCTTTTCCTTATGTTCATGAACAAATTTCAACCTGGCATCTCTGTCTTTTCAATAACAGTGGACTTTAAATTGTTCTCATGAATTTCATTGCTTATTGTCCGTTTAATGACACAGATTCCTGATGAAAGCAAATTATCCTGCAACTCTTGACGAGTAACTATTGGAATTTTTAATTTGACGCATTAATTTCTTTGACGATCTTGCAAAAATCTTCCGTGGAGCACCTGTTCTTTGATTTTCAACGGTTTTGAGTTTTTATACCTTTCAATGAATGAACTAATGGTAGTAAATGGAATATACAGGTTAAAGTTTTTAAAATAAGATTTATTTCTATTAAATCAATTTTTATTCTGTTTTCTATGCATATTTAGTTATTATGTATCTGTGTAAAGTTAATGAAAAGTAATTTTAATTCAATAATTGGGAATACAATAAATGAAAAATTTGTATGTGTACAAATATTTTTTACCACTATATATATTGTTTTATTATAAGGAATTAGTATATATATGCACATATATACACACACACTTCGTATGGTGTGTAGGGCTCATGTGCAGTTTTTAACAATTACAATTTAGATATTTAAAAACCTTGCTGTTATAATCATTTTAAAACTCTGTTGCTATACTCATAATTGATTTTATTTATTTTGTGCCGTAATTTTTTATATAAAGTGATTCCAGAATTTGAAGATATTGTTCTTTATTTTCACGGTGGAGTATAGTTGTATTGTCGATTAATATTTCTCTAAATCGTGAATGCGGAGAGGAATGTTTCTTTAAATGTTGTGAGAATGATCTATAGTTATTAATATGTAATGTAAGTTTCCTTGACGAAGTCGTAGTCCTAAAACCAACATATATATTTACATCTTTATCAGAGATAAAATCTCCCAAAGGACATTTAAATTTTTATAGGTGTTTTTAAAAACTACAATTAAAACAATATGTTAAAACACGTAAGTACAATTTTTAATAAGAATTACATAAATTAAGTTACCTCCCTTACATAGCGATAAATTTTTCGAATTTTACAGCGTTCATGCTCATACATATTCAT